GAAGTTGCACTATATCACTATCATAATATATCATAAGAGTCGTAAGTATACTTTCCTGTAGTAATGAACTGGGTTTGCTATATGGCATGCAAATACTATCAAATATAATTTTAGTATGCAAATTAAATAATATAAAGAGGATATTCCGAAGTTATATCTGTGTTTTTTTAATTTCCAGCAGTATCCGCCCTTCTTCTTAAGATCGGCTGTCCCTTTTCTTCAACTGCCCCTTTGGAGCAGTACTCTAAATCCTGTTCATCTGATTATTCCATAGTGTGTAGATGACTAAAAAACATTTTTATTAACTTGTTTGCCATAAAATGCATTTTTGTGCATTTTATTATGCTCTTTTTCTTCAATCGTTACTTGTTAACAAATATTAGTACAGCTCTGAAATTGAATCTTTTATTTTGACTTTCTTGAAACCTCATTTTTCAGCAAATTGAGATTTCACGAAAAGCAAAGCTTTTTTGAACCAAGTAGGTTATAAGAAAAAAGTAATCACGCACTCAATTCTTCCATACAAGTGGAAGATCGACATACAATTTTAAAGCTGTACTATATTTCGTTAAAAGTTACGATTGAAGAAAAAATTCATAAATAATGTACAAAGAAAAGAATTTTTTGACAAAAACTGATGACACCGTTTTCCAGTAATCTCTATATAATGGGTGATTTTTTTGCTAGTATCTTTTTGGCAACACTGTTTTTGACAGATGACGCGTGAATCGTGTCTTGTGTCATTGTCAAACTTGTTCAGTTTGGTCTATAATTTAACCATGAATCGACACGAATGAACAACGCTTGCAAATTATTGAATTTTACTATCAAAATTCATGCTCGGTTAAGAGAGTGCATCGAGCACTGCTTCCAATTTATGGGCAATTTGGTCGGCCTACTGAGGGAGCTATTCGGAAGCTTGTGACTAAATTTCGAACCCAGTTTACATTATTGGACATTAAACCACCGACACGCAGACGTAGAGTGAGGACTGAAGAAAATATTGCGGCTGTATCCGCCAGTGTTAGTGATGACCGTGAAATGTCGATTCGCCGCCGTTCGCAGCAATTGGGCCTCTGTTACTCCACTACGTGGAAAATTTTGCGACAGGATTTGGGTGTAAAACCTTATAAGATACAGCTGGTGCAAGAATTGAAGCCACACGACCTCCCACAACGTTTCCAATTTGGTGAATGGGCGCTGGCAATGTTGGAGGAAGATCCACATTTTTATCGAAAAATTGTGTTCCGCGACGAAGCTCATTTCTGGTTGAATGGGTACGTTAACAAACAAAATTGCCGCATCTGGAGTGAAGACCAGCCAGAAGCATTGCAAGAGCTACCAATGCATCCCGAAAAAATCACTGTTTGGTGTGGATTATGGGCCGGTGGCATCATCGGGCCGTACTTCTTCACTTCTTCAAAGACGACAATGGCCGGAACGTAACTGGGAATGGCGAGCGCTACCGTGCGATGATAACAAACTTTTTTTTGGCCAAAATGGAAGAGCTGGACTTGGCTGACATGTAGTTTCAACAAGACGGTGCCACATGCCACACCGCACACGAAATAATGGCCCTATTGAGAGGCGAGTTCGGTGAACAGTTTATCTCACCTTTGGGGCCCGTCAATTGGCCGCCTAGATCGTGTGATTTAACGCCATTGGACTATTTTTTGTGGGGCCATGTTAAGGCTAATATCTACAGGGATAAACCAGCAACGATTGACGCACTGGAAGCCAATATTGAAGCATTTATTCGTGAGATACCGGCCGATATGATGGAGAGAGTGTGCCAAAATTGGACCTTGCGCATGGGCCATCCAAAGCGGAGCCGCGACCAACATTTACATGAAATAATCTTTAAATATTAAACTATATCGACCGTTTTATCGACTCAAATAAAGATTAAATCGTTTTTTCAATTTTTTTGTGTTCTTTTTGAAAATCAAATCCTATACCTCTTAAAAAATCACCCGTTACAACGTGAAACAATCAGACGAAAAGTATTAAGAATACTCCTCCCGACAGGATGTTGAAAAAAGGACTTGCGACGTTAATCCAATCGGCCTGAAGCAGAAAGTTCAGCGATTTGCAAGGACGGCTCTGGTTGACACCGGAAAAGTACTGTTCCTCGCACAAGCACCCTATTGGAAGGCAGTTAACTTCCCCCATTAATTGCTTGACTTTAATTGAAGGCGAGAAGCTCGACGGTGTCAGTCACGCTACTCAACGTGAGGTATTTGGCCTTCAAGCAGTTACAACTTCCAAGAAGTATAACTCAACAGCAATAGAGAATGTTCGATCTGATAGTTGATATAAATTACTTCACTTAATCGTTCTATAGAGCATGTCTTTTAGAAGGCGTAAACACTTTATCCGTTACAGACTCAATCATCGTATCTCCCTGTCCTTGCCTTTGACATGCCAGGCTTGTTGATCCTAAAGTAGCCATAGGTCTGTCCGCGCAGACCTTGGAGAACAACAAAAGAGTAATTTTAGGCAACATTCTCTAGAGCCTAGTGACATGTTCGATGGTAATATGCTTTTTAGACGGAGTAGCTGTCAAAAAAAAAAAAATCCTGGACCTAGTCAATATCGGTGAAAATGCCAAAGGCACGAACTCTCATAGTCCAAACACGAAAAAATGCTTAAAAGTCTTAAAAGCTGAATTAAAAAAAAATATAAAAATGATATGAAACCTTGAAACTTTGAGATTACCATTTAAAATAAATGCTTTTGAATATGCATGCATGCAATATCCTCAACAACTTCTACGATAAGGTCATCAAACGTAAAAAATAAGCATTTAGAATGATAGATTACTGTTGAGAAGGAGGATGGCAGCCAATCCATATCCGACAACATCAGCCATGAACAGGGAAAATATAAATGCTACCTTGTTTCAGTCGTGTCCTTTTAATAGAGTCGAACACATGCGATTCTGATAGTTTCAGTTTTATTACAAATACAACGATGTTACGTGGAATACATATAGACAACAAAACTTGGTTGCTAAGGTAAATATTTATCTGTGGATTTCAATCAGTTATTGGACAGAATTGGTATTAAAAGAAGATGTCACCAAAATTTCTATCAACAAACATTTTAAATACATTTTCTGTGTATCTTTTAAGATATTTCAAAAATCGAACAATTTCCAAAATGTTTTTCACGGTGTATAAGGAAGCCAAGAAGCTCATATATTGATAATATTAAATAATTACTTTTTTATTTACGAACAAAAAGTGCCTAGGAATATGAATGAATACATTGTAATTGGGAATTGAATTTATGCTTCTCTTTTCCTTACATTTTCCTGCTTATGTTAATGAAATGCACTGACTAATCCCTGAATTAATATCTCAAAAAACAAATACATTAAAAATACCTACTTACAGTATAACCAATTTAATCTTCCAACTACAATCACAGAATGAATAAGTGAAGTGTCAGTAAAAACCATTCACTGTATGTTCTGATCGTTCTGATATATCGAATTGAATGACTAATAATAATTTATCTGCTTATTATCTTGCACATCCGTTTATATAATGTTTACATAAATAAGATAAAACAAGGTACAACACATTTCAAATAAGATAAGTCGAAAGAAACAAAGCTAATAATATCAAATTTCGGATATACTCAAAATCAACCTCAAACCCGACAAACATCTCCAAATCGCGTCAAGTAAGTTTCTCTCGCAACGCTGTCATCAGTTCACAGATGATTATGTTCGACACAAGTGAGCCCCTCTTAGAAAAAAGGTAACTACGAACATGTATAGTAAATAAATTGGATCAAGTCAATCAAACAGGCCCTTACAATTCGTCTCTAGTAGACACTGATTTGACAGTGTTACTATCTTGAAATATTCTGTCCTACCGAACATCCGGCAACGTTGTGATCACAGTTGCTATGTGCAAACTTCGCCAGCGGCAGCGACCAGCGCGCGACATGTTTTTTATATTCGTTGCGATCGAAGCCGATGTTGAAAATCCTGCTGTCTTAAACGTACCGGGACATCTGTGTGTGAAATATGTCTATACTCGGGTACCAAAATGGAAGACAGTAGCATAACACATTGTACGCCACTGCTAGTGTGGCGTTCCTTTGCATCGGCAAAGTCGGTACGCGCGGAATCCGCTGTATTCAGAGACACACCGGGGTAACAGACCCGTACTTATGGTACTCTCCTCCGTTTTAGAACGAGATTATAATAGGTACGTAGAATTATAGGAAAAATATACAAAGCCCTGCAACGACTCACTCTCAAAGGAATTCAAAAAACAAGTAGGATTCTTCGAATCGTCAAAAAATGATGTTTGCGTGATATTTATTTTTTCTTTCGCTTTCAACTCGTAACTCCGCTGCCACTGAATTTTCAAAGCTAACAAAGCTTTTTCATCGTTGGCATAAAAGTAACTTTTCTTCAGAATTTCATCAAAACCTATTGGAGAGTGGCCAAGGATTAGCGGACAGACAGAATGACATATAGGCAGACCGACTGAAGGAAGTGACAGACATGGCTATTGTCTTGGTTTCAATGACCACTTAACGTAATAGATAGTTTTAGCATGTAAGCCTTAAAGAGAACCTGAAGTACCTTGACTTCTTATAACATAAATTTCAACGTTAACGTTTAGAAATTTGTCGTGACTACAATAGTTCCTCGCTAATTTTTGTAGCCTGAAATTTTTTGTCTCGCTAGTAACTACAACGCCTTTGGGCAAATTCTCAAAATCTGCAAAGCTTTTTTGTATTGTCATTTATGGTTCCAAATATAAAAATACCAGCAAAATTCGAGGGTATTTTAAGAGTTATAGAGTTGTTAAACATCCTCGGACATCCAAAAACAGCGTATCCCTATTTCAGATGTTTTACTGTTACAAACAACACACGTTATTGTCTAGCCTAATTCTGGTAAGGATTATACAAAGCATTCTTTGCACTATAATTATTACATCTCTATTTCTGCCCATAACAGTTTCCCCTAAATATCGAACAGACAATAATAACAGCCATTATTAAGCCGCATCAAAAGCCATAAAGCACCATTAAATTTGAAGCGATTTGAAAAATACAGTCACGATATTCTTTAAAGCGTTTGCCTTTCGCGCTGGAAAATATGAGAGACACGAACCAATATCTGAGTTTTTGTTGCAGTTTCGTTCCAGCAGTCGACCATACATGCCATTCGTAGTTTTTCCGCGAGCTTCCCAGCCAGACGACAAAGCGTGGCCACCGTCTTGATGTTGGGACAGAACGCAGGAGCTAAAGCCGGCCCTGTGCCCGCCAAATCGTCAACGCAGGAGAAGAGGGCTACGATTGGGAGTGAGATGGGTGAGGTTGAAGATGAGAGAGGGGCCAAACGTCGGCTGGTTAGAGAGAATACTGAGGAGGCTGATGACAGGTAAGGTATATCTGAAATCAGTTTATCGACAAAAATTAGAACCATTTTTATTTTAATGGAATTTTATGCAGGGTGTCCCGACGTCAAGCCAGAACTGGGGGATAGGTCAAGTTAATATCAGAAAAATATAAAAAAAATTCTAGTCGTGTACTTTTCAAATTATAGGCTTTAAGAAAAATCGGAAAAATCTACACCCTGTTAGTTCCCATTACTACAGATTTCAATTTTTTCTTGGACGGAGAGGAAAGTGTCTTTCTACATAGTGACAGCCCACCGAATCTTGGGGAAGTACAATCTCTAATACCCCGGAATAATCTTCCAAGAGTTGGATTTTGTCAAACAATGTTACAAAGACACCGAGAAGATAGGCGATTTTTAGAGAAAATTTTATGGACTGATGAGTCGACATTAGAAAAAGATGGTTACATGATTCTACACAACTTACACTAGTGGCACGTAGAAAATCCACATTCAATGACACAAGATAGATCACAGTATCGTTTTGGAGTAAACATGTGGCCCGGGATTCTAAATGGGAGAATCATTGTACTTTGAGCTGTCAGAGTTATTGAATGGCAAAATTTGTTCAGACTTTTTACAAAATCATTTACCAAATTTAGGAAGACGTGTCACTAAGCATTTACAGAGATATGTGGTACCAACAGGACGGCCGCCCAGCACACTAGGTTCGGTTAGGTTTCTTGTGAGTGCATCAATAACGATCCTCTCTGGTCTATTGTGGCTCACACCTTTTGATATTTCCCCCAGTAGCTCTGACCTCCTGAAAAAGTCGATCAACTTGTTTGGAGAAATATCATTTAGGTCTTCTGCTTATAATACTACGTCTCCAAGTATGTTGTACTTGAATCTGGCAATTGCAAAACATCTGCACAATACATGCCTGACCGTTTCATCTCCCTCCATCCACAGTCTGCACTCAGCGTCTTACGCCATACCCAGCCTGCTCATGTGGTGACGCAATTTGCAATGACCAGTGTATAATCCTTCTAGAGCTTGGGCTAACCCTGCTAATCCCTCCCAGTATTCACGGATCTTTCTGTCCATCTCTGCAGATATTATTTTTTTAGCCGTATTGTATGCGATTCCAATCGCTGGCTCAGGCCCTATGAAGGGTATGCTAGTCCCACTCTTTGCCAGAGTGTCAGTTGTCTCGTTTCCCTCTAGACCTGTGTGTCCTGGTATCTATATGAGACGGACTTCATTACCCTCTCCTATGCCACCGAGAGCTTCTTTGCAATTCCACACTAATTCGATGTCGAGTAGGTGGAGTCAAGTGCTTTAAGTGCGGCTTGACTATCTGAAAAAAATAGTTATAATTCTGTACCTCAGTTGTCATTCTGCGATCATTCTGGCACCCAGTTCTATAGCATATAGCTCTGCCTGGAAGATCAATGCCCAGGTTCCTAGGCTAACAGATTTTTTAATCTTTAGCTTCAGCACGAAGATACCAGCTCCAACACCTACCTCGGTCTTGGAGCCATCTGTGTATGCACAGATATCTTTCCTTATCAGGTTAACTTGCTGTTCCCACTCATTCCTGTGTGGAATTATCACTGAGTAGGGTTTAGAATATCTTGTTATCTTTGGCATTATATCAGAGAAGGCATTCCCAGACTGTGGTGGTCCACCATCATGGCGCATTATGCCGGTTCAGTTAGAGAATATCTTGATGCGGATTTGACTCGATTTTTTTTACTGAAAAAGATTCGTCCGTCTGATATCGAGATCATTTTTAAGAAGGAGTCTAGCTTGCATTGCTGGCAGTTTGAACATTTGTTGTGAAATGAATAAATTTATTCACGAATTAATAAAGGTGGCGTTACAGTCCTGCTGTCAGTACGTAAAATGACACTGTCCGCCATTCCATCTAAAAAAAAAAATTGAAATTATTAGTAATGGAAACTAAAAGATCATCACAGGGTGTAGATTTTTTCGATTTATTTTAAAGTCTGTAATTTGAAAAGTACACAACTTACATTTTATTATATGTATTTTTCTGATAATTATTATGACTTGGCCTAACCCCCGTTTCCAAATTGACGTCGACTTCTGGAACAGTCTGCATACTATCAGGCACAACCAGGAGGAATAAATGATTAAATTTTGAAGTGACATTTTCTGCATAGTTGGATTTATCTAATAACGTGTTGGATGGCGTCTACATTCGTCCAGTCGTCGGGTGAACTGGTCTATGTCTTCTTGAGGTATCACCTCCCAAGCTAGCTATTTTTGCGTCCAAAGAGCCGTTAGCGTTGAGGAAGATGAGATGAAAAGGTCACTATTCCTCCCTTCTTATCCCATAAATGTTCAATGGGCTCGGGAGCGGTGTGGCTATTAAGTGGCGTAGAGAGGCTAGCCTGCTTGAGCGACACGGAGGCAATGCATACCGCGCCCACTACAGCATTGGAAGTCCTTCTCAACCTACCACCATTACACATATTTATTCAGGGAAATGCTTTCTCCGTGGCTCACAGACTAACTCGAGGCCAACCACTGACCAGTCGGTAGCGCGGAAAAGACCATCCAAAACTTCACACGGAGTTGAAGGCAGATCCTATATTGGTAATGCCCATGGACACAACTGCCCCAAAGTGTACTTGTACCAGAAAGGAAGGCGTAGGATAAATAACCACCTATAGATGTCAAAAGCTGTTGGTACAAAGACGGCTCGAGAACTGAAGGCGAGTTGAAGCTGAGATTTTTGGCGCAAGGCCAAAAACTGAGCTCTAGTCTAGGTAATATTGCAGGCTGAAGTGACGGCCACACAAGTCTGTACAAAGCAGCAACTAAGGAATGAGACTGCAAATCAGACTGCTCAGATAGCCAGGCAGCCATGGCAAACATCGTCTAAGCTGGTGTGGGATTCCATGAACACTCTCAAAGAGGTGGAAACCGATGCAAGGTAACATTGCTCTGGGTCCTGGACATGAAGGGCACAAAGGAAATTAAAAGGCGGATGAGCTAGCCCGACAGGGTGCGGCCAATCTGCTTATAGGTCCAGAGCCTTTCTGTCGCGTGGCGAGAACACGGTCCATAAGAAATTGAACCAAGAAAAAGTCCCTAGAATAGTAGAATAGTCCATTAGGGCAAAGACAGGCAAAAGAGTTCATCAAAGAACGAAGGATCGCTTTTGTAGAGGACCTACTTGGATTTAATAAGGCCATAAGGGCCGTAGTGGGTCTTCTGAAAGAGCACTGTCGTCTAAGTCGACATATGAGGCTCTTGGGTCTGGCAGAAGAGGCCGCATGCCCTTTCTGCAGAGAACATGAGGCAATCCCAGTGCATCTCCTGTGAAGATCTGGCAAGGCTACGGTTTCAGATAGTAGGAACCATAGGTCCAACAGCGAAAAGCTACATGCAAGGCCCTGTATCAAGGCTATGGGGTCTGATAAAAGGATTTAGGCTGGACACAGCGCTTTAGAAAGTATATATGGAAGTCACAATAGATCTATTTGGGTCGCAGTGACGTTAAGGCTAGCAACCCCCTTCTTTTGTAATCTGTAATTTCAATAATGCTGAAATTCCTCCATCCTGGGCCTCCTAGATCTACTGACCTTTCGTCCATTGAGCATTTGCGGGACATATGGAAAGAAAACTAACGCTAGCTGCTCTTTGGAAATATGTAGGCTGACTTGGTATGACATACCTCAAGAAGACATGAATCACTTCGTCAGAAGCATGCCCCGATGAATGGACAATGGCATCAAAGTATTAGCGAAAACTCAAATGTTTTCACTGCAAAATTTAATCACGACTTCCTCCTGCTTATGCCTTACTCTACAAGATTTCGTTCAAATAAAGTCACGTTTACTAAGTGCCTCATTTTCGTTGTCACTGAGTAATCGTTGCTGTTGCACCTTGAAATGGCTCCGAAACACCCTTCAAATGACCTCAAATTCAGATTCAGCGACCACAAAAACCTACGTTTGCTTTCATTTTCTCAATTTAACCTTGAAACGACACCGAAACGCCCTTCAAATGACCTAATAAGGACAAATCGATGTCCAATGCAGATTCATTGATCCCAAAAACCTATAAGCAAGACAGTTAAGTGCCAGACACCTCATTACTTATTCAGTAAATTTAAATTTCACTAAAAACTGTCCTCGAACTGACCTTCACCCTGGCCAGGAGGAGGTTCCTATAAGTGCCGCCGTTTGCGGCAAAATCGTTATATAGATGAAAAAAAAGATTTTTTTTAGGAGAATTGTATTAGACTGAAAATCGGCCCTCCTCTTTTGGGTGAGGCCTATGTCAGCAGCCAGTAGTCGCGCGTTTCAACGCAGCGCGACAATTTGATGTCCCAGTGAACCGGCAGTAAGGAAATTTTCATATCCTATAGTAGCGTAGTACAGATGCTAATGATTGATTTTAATATATATCAAAAGTTGATTAAATATATAACACGTAACTTTGTAACGTTCAACCACTTTAAGGCAAACGATTCCCCACAAAGTAGCGCGACATTTTTCTTCGAATATTCAAATGTTCAAATATATTCTGACATTGCAACTCATTATAGAAAATTACAAATGACTAGACTACGGACCCTTTGGTATTAATTGTCTGCCGCCTGACGTTCTTTTTGATAATGTTACGGCGACACGAAAGGTGTGCAGGGTATCTTTAGAATCTGATATTAGTGTGACAGGAGCAGGCTATCCTAATAAAACAGCTCATAAATTTAATTGCGTGGGGGATCATCGCTAAAAACTTCAGAGCCTCGCGTCATTTGCTATCCTTTACGTGTTAGCTATAAATTTTGCCGAATACAGAGTTTGTCCAAAATTTTTAAAGGACGACTGCTTCTTCACTTGAACTTCACGCCCACTGAGACGAAGCGACGCAAAGAGAACAGCACCGAAATTTGTTATTGAATACGTCAAACATGACACGTCGCTTCGTATCGACAGTATGCGGGTTGTCATTTCATGTGTAAAGAAAAACCTATTGTGAAGGCATCTTAATTTTGCAAGGTGTTTTTGACGATTATTTGATGCGAGCACACCCCCTTCTCACTACCCTTGGAGAGATATCTCCCCTGTGAGATTTTCCAAAATGTCTATTTTTAGTGTAAATGCGTTGAAATTATTTCAAAAAAACACAAATTGTGATAAAACCTCTAATTCAGTCCGCGGGGACTTGAAACAAATGAACTTACGATTTATCCGTCACAAGCGAACAGACGTACGAGTATGTACAACCCGGAAGAATAGCAGGAAACGGGGTCGTGCAGTGTTTACTGGCAGTATTTATCGCGAAAGTTCATTGTGTTATGGATCTGGAAAGGGCCTGGGCGAAGGGCTATGGCCCCGCCAATATGAGAACCGCGCTAAGTAGGAACTATATGACTTCACGTAAGAATGTCTGAAGACGTTGCATCAAGAAACTGAACAGAAGGGCAGGGCCGGATTAACCAATAAGCAGAGTATGAAACTGCCTCCCTGTACGCACTAAGAAAATAATAAATAAAACGAAAATTTTATTTGAAAATTTGTATTGCTCCTCAATAACAAATATTGCTACTTTTCTTAGACATATTTCACTCATCTTAGATATCCCCGTACATTTAGCCTCAGAACTTGAATATCTCCAACAGTCGCGTGTCGATATGTGTGCCGTCGTCGATCGTGCTTCCTAGTCGGCAGTCGCTTCCGTGCTGTTGTGTGCTGTTTTCTATAAAAGTCAACATCGTCATCCATGGATTAGTCTTAGCAACGTTCATATGCGCCCGCAGGAATTTCTCTCGGGGGGAGGGAAGGAGTCATATAATGTTTTGTTATACATGTTCCTTACTAACTTTTTTTTCTCTGAAGAGTTAACTTGTGCAGAACATAATCCTTTACGAACTGATGAAAATGTTTCGGAGGAAGTACAGAGTCAACTTAATTGACGCCATTTTTATTAGGATATTAATTTAGTATTACAGAGATGGGCAGGTGTTAACGATAATTTTGTCTGCGGTCAGTTCATAACAGAAAAGCTTATCAGCTTATCAGCTTTCCTGTGTTACAATAAGTTTCAGTCGAAGCTTCACACTCTCATCTGATTTTGTTTCTCTCTCGCAATACATAATCCCTCCAGCATATTGTTCTACTTTATTCAGGTACAGAGATCATTTCGGTTTTCAGAAACCTTCTACCGTTGTCGAGCATCAAATCTTTCTCTAGTTATTTAATTTTAAACGTAATAATTTGAACTTAAGGCTTAATTATACGTAATGAGTACAGTACGCTCGGCAAAGTATTCGGTGCTTCAACAACATATTGATCAGCACTCACCAAAGAGTTCGGTCCAGTAGGAGAATGTGTCCACAGGCAAGTGCCCTCGGAAAATATGAGAAAATCTAGGATTTTTTAAGGACAAATAAAAAAAATGGTAGTTTGGAAGCGTTTCTATGGTCATGATATTGATACTTCCCAAGCCACGCTGTCATCAGCACATGAGTTTAACCATGAACATGTAGACACAGAATTAAATGGATCAATTGAGCCAAACAAGCCCCTACAGTTAGTCCATAGTCCCACCCATTTGATAACGATGCGATCTAGAAACTTCTTTCCTGCTCTTACTGAAAGTATCGAGCGTCTGACAACGTCAGCCATGCTTTGCTGGCCAACTCAAGCAGTGTGACGGTGAGAGATAAGATTTCTCTAAGTTTTAAGAGCACATCTCTGCCCCTAGAGGCGTACAGCACAGCTCATTACCAGTTCAGTACCACCTGAGATGTCGATCTGGCTTGTTTCGTTTCTCTGTAGTCATTATTTTTGCTGCAGCTGTTTCGTGCTTGTTTCGTTTTTTACGATGGTAAGCTTCGGTGAGCAACGTGCAGCTGTGAAATTTTGCTTTCTAATTGGTAAAAATGCTGCTAAAACTGTTTTAATGTTGAAAATAGCTTAGAAAAATGATGCGATGGGAAAAACTCAGGTGTACTAGTGGTTTGCTCGATTTAAAAATGGCGACATGTCGATTGATGACAAACCTCGCTCTGGACATCCATCAACTGCCCGAATTGAAAAAAATGTTGAAAAAATTCGAGAGCTTGTGCTTATGCTTAGACGATTGCGAAACAGTGTTCGGCAAAAAAGATCCGATTTGTGGCAGTCAGGACACTGGTTCTTCCACCACGATAATGCACCTGCGCACACAGCCATCTCTGTTCGACAGTTTCTGGCTAAAATTGGCGTGGTTCCGCCTCACGCACCTTATTCGCCTGACCTGGTTCCGTGCGACTTTCTCTTATTTCCACGAATGAAAGGGGGCATGAAAGGACACCGCTTTGACGACATTGAAGAGGTCAAGAAAAAAAACGAGGCAGGAGCTGCCAGACATTTCTAAGGAAGACTTCAAAAAATGATTCGAGCAGTGGAAGCACCGGGTGGACAAGTGTATTAGGTAGTTACTTTGTGAAAAAGTTTAAAATAAATAGCTTTTAAAAAATAATTCCGTTTTTTTTTGTACCCCTTCGTATAGGAAAATCCAGGATTAGCGGATTTGGAAGCGTACGAATATAACCCCCCCTCCCCCCCCCATTCATTTTTGACCCCTTCAAAATCAGGAACCTCCGAAACGGCAATAGGCGAAGTTTGAGCGATTTTTATTATTTTCATTTTTTGCCCATAGGTCCTTTCAAAAATTTTCGCGATTACAATACTTTCTCGCCAGTAGGCGTGGGAGGTAAAACTCTTACTGCGAACTAGCAAGTACTATGTGGATGACAATTGATAACCTATGTGATGTTTATTACCATAAGAGAGCTGTGTGATGAGAAAAACCGTGGAATCGGAGAAGGCATTTTCGAGGGCCACCTAGCGATGTCGCTGCCGTGTCACAGAACCTTTCCCATCACGGAAACATTGAGAAACCCGATGATTTATTGGCTCTATAGCCTCAACTCCGTCCCATTTAACTCTGTATGCCGATTGCTTATCACCTTCGTAGTCTAGGAGTTAGTTTTCAAATTTAAGAAGTCATGTAAAAACGTTACTCTCAAAAGATAAAAACAAAATTTTGATGCATTGATATACATCTGCGTGAAATTTCAGCTACTCGAAACTTCCAAGCAAAATTAGTGTTGACCTGATTATGAGAAATGTCTGATTTAAAAATTTTACCTACCCGTTACATTAGTAATAGTAATATTTATTTACTCTACAAAAACAGGGAACAGAAAATGAGTAAATAAAGATATTACGTATCTATAGAAGGACAAATTCATTTGGAAGCTTAATCTATTAAATCGTTTGAAAAATGCTCATTCAATTTTGGGGTGAGATCGTTTTATTACAGATTTGTTTGATTTAGGAACATTTTTTGTGCGTAAGTTATATCTGGTGTTATGACCATGTTTAATAGGAAGGTTCGACATTTTTCGTATTTCTCTTTTTTTAATTAAAATCGAGGGATTTTGTTATTAACAAAAGGTCAAAGAAATTTGAGTGCAAAATAGTAATATTTACGTCGACGGAACGCATTTTAAAATCAAGGATCGACGCGAGGCTAGAAAACGTACCTGTACGCGAGACTAGACCGCGTGACGTCAGTAGCCAGACACGTGCTGTCGCCCTCATACTTGTATCTTGTATACGGAGTGAAGAGTATACCAATACGAATTTATATAGACTAGGACCGACGTTTGTGTACTTGATTTATTTTCGCTAGCACAATGCTCCAAGGTTATCAGAAAGCGGATTCGCGAAATTTACCCCATGTGAATGTGGAAATGGTGTACGAGTTTTTGGCAAATAATGCAAATGTAAATGAACCTCAGAGCAGCGGCGTTAAAGTAGTTCCGTAAGTACCTATATGAAGCTAATTTTTTTTTATCCTCCTTTGAAAGCTAATAATATTAAGACATAATAATGCCTGCTCGTGACAATAATTTTGAAGGCTATTTATCTCTGCTTTTTCCTTCCTAGGTAAAATATTATAGAATTTTTTTTTTATACTCCAACTACCACGAAGGCCTAAGGCCTAAAGACCCATTGGGTACCGTGGCGCTATAGGGGGATACAGGGGAAAGGGCGAACGCCACACGGACTCTGGCGAGGGAACACGTGTGCATGCAACATGCACACATTCTGGCTCCGCCTACGAGATCCGCCGGGTGGTACCTCCACGTTCGACAGTCAGAGACCGTCTACCACCTACAGACAATCACAACATCCATAGCCAAGATAAAAATTTCTCCTGGGACGGGACTTGAACCCGCACAGCGCACGGCGACTGATCAGGAGACCGAAGAGTCTACTACTGCGGCCACCGCTGCTGCCTACATTTAAATTATCATACATACCTTTTTACCTTGTTACGCCTATTAGAGCCCCGAAATTGGTTCTTTTTGCATGCATAATGAGCCTTTATTACACTATTCTGAAGTAAAGTATGGTACCTAATATGTTTTCAATGAGAGAACTTCCAGAGATGTAGAGAGAATCTTATTTTTAGGGTATATTGGGGAATACTTAAATTAGGGGAGGGGCAGACACATTATAGAATTTTATAGCTACTAAAATAACCAAGTTTAGGGCTGCATTCGGGGGATGGGCAATGAAGCCAGGTTCTAAACATTGATCAATATTGCGCTTAGAATGACTACGATCTCGACAGTAAGCTGGTCAGCTTCGCTGTCACTACTTTCAGTACTGCTTCCACTGGCTTCTCATACGAATCAGATTCGGATGTTTCTGTTATTGCGGGACTTTCAAGATTTTCCCGTTTTGGCCGCTCTGAAATCTGTTTAGCAAGCGCAGGAATACTTATTGGCAATACAGCAACATCCACTACTTTCCTTTTTTGCGAGATTTGAACTGACTTGCTTCTAAAATGTACCTGTTTGGTTTGGCATGCCTTGTCACATACCTGTGACTGAACTTCTACTTTTAAAGGTTCAGGCAGTTCATCATGCTCCTCCTTAATAACTTCCACGCCTTCAGGGTCGGACTTTTCAGTTGAGGGTCCCGCCCGGCGTGCCGCCACTGTCTGCAAATATTTGGCGATGTTTTTCTGCATTGCCCTTTTTTCGCTGAACACTCGTTTCGTAGAGCTTAATTGTCTACCCAGTTGACATGCAAATTTATGAGGTGCAATATTAGGATTCATGCGGGCTCGAACGGTTACTCATCTTGTATTGTAGATAGTTTTCCATATCTTTTTCCAGGTCAAAATGATCTTCGCAGCAGTACATGGTCGACGTGGAAGAAACTGATTTTAGATCCCGTCGAGCTGCGTCAAACCACTTTTTACGTTGTGCGGCAGCTTTTGGAACACTCACAAAAATTTTTGTGGTATTGTACTTGACGTACGAGTACTTGTACATTTTGGCACAAAACACCACTTTCTGTTCGACATTTAACACCGTCAAGGTTCACAGAATTTAACAATAATCTATAGTACCAGCTCTAACTACTCCAAACCGATTACTGGGGCGTTGTTGTGAGAATGGTAAATGCAGCGGGCCAGCTAGCGGGGTGTATCTGGCTACTGACGTCACGCGGTCTAGTCTCGCGCTCAGGTACGTTTTCCAGCCTCGCGCCGATCCTTGATTTTGAAATGCTTTTAGTCGACGTAAATATCAATATTTTTTGCTCAATTTTTTTTATCGTTTTTTAATAACAAAATCTCTCGATTTGAGTAAAAATCAAAAAATGGCGAACCTTTCTATTGTGTCGCATCCACTAATAGTTTTGTGATAATGGGTGATGGTAGGAAAGAAATAAAGTTGTTTGGTATCATATAAAGGGTGTCTCATAAATATTTTCTTATTTTATGCCATAAATAAAAATACTTAGAATATTTTTACAAAGATAAAGTTATTACCAAACGAAAGCCTAAACATTAATTTTATTTATGGAAAAGAGTATCGGATAAATGAGCACCGTTCATGTTTTCACACTCTCTTAATCTCGAACTGAAGTTTTCGATCACTCTCCGAAGCATTGCTCGAGGAATGGCGTTTATTTCATCGGTTATTTTTTGCTTCAACTCTCTCAAATCTTGTGGCGGTGGGGTGTATACCTTACTCTTCAGGTATCCCCATAAGAAAAAATCTGCTGGTGTCAAATCGGGACTTCTCGGTGGCCAGTTAATGTCTCCTCTGCGACTGATGACCCTCTCTGGGAATAACTGATGAAGAGCATCCAAGGATTCATTCGTGACATGAGAAGTCGCTCCATCTTGCTGGAAAAACGTGTTTCTATTGTAGCCACCATGGTTCTGTATAGCTGGAGTTAAAAAAGTCCTAATCATGTGACAGTAGCGCTCAGATGTTACAGTTTGAGCTTGGCCACGATTGTCTTCAAAAAAATACGGGCCAATGATTCCTTGCCCTGACATAGCAGCCCAGACGATAACTTTAGGCGAGTGTAATGGCGTCTCATGAAGATTTTGCGGGTTCTGCTCGGCCCAATATCGGCAGTTTTGTTTATTAACATGCCCGTTAATGTGAAAATTCGATTCATCAGAAAACCATATGTTGTTGTAACCGTTAAAATGCTCTCTCATTGTTCTACAGAACTCTAATCGATTAGCGGGATCTTGTGGTTTTAATTGTTGTGTAACAACAATCTTGTATGGGTGAAAATGCAAATCCTTGCGAATAATGCGATGAACAGTTGACTTATGCAAAGTTAGAGACGCTCCACGCAGTCTTAATGATTGCCGGGGATCCTCGTTAACGGACTGGCGCACGCGTTCAATATTTTCGTTCGATCTTGCTGACCTTGGCCGTCCAGGCGGTTTACTAATACACGTGTTTCCAGTGCTCTCGAACTTTCTTACCCAATATTTAATTAAATTTGCGCTTGGGACATCTCTCATTCTTGCTATGTTATAATGATTTCTGTACAAACGACGTACAAGCACATAAGAATCCTTGTTTTTATAGCACTCGCGAACACAAAAAGCACGTTGCGGCCCTGTAAAACGCTCCATTGCAACTAAAATTTAACAATGTTGCCAAACGTTTGTCAACTGTCTCGTTTCTCCGGAGCATGCGTATTCTGCCAGAGGACTGATCTAAAAACGAAAATATTTCTGAGACACCCTTTACTTGTGCATTATTATACAAGTCATGGGTAATTTTGATTTGCCCAACATTGATTTTAAAATTGTTCTTTGAAGCACGTCTGAAGCCCTGTCAGTGATCGTGTTAGAGATACCACGACAGTCCGATCATTCTGCTACACTAGAAAGAAATTCACACTTCCTGATCTCAGACACGTTCACTGACAAGTTACCGACCACTGTACGAACAAACCTTAAATCGTCAATATAAGTCATGTAGGTATGCAGCACCCCATACCACTACATCGTATGTTATGTGTTTCTCGACTAAAGTCTGATATAGGTTTTATCATAAGTAATATCATAAGGGCATCTAATTTTTCCGAAAGAAAAATTAAAAAACACGTTGCTAAGTAGTATTTTACCAAAAAAATATTATTTGCATTGTTTTTTCGATCCTTTTCAAGAAAAAAATAGATGCTCGAATAGTATTTGACAAAACTATTTCATGAGTAACAGATTATTCTGCACACACATAGCTTACAAAATTTATTGACAATAAAATCAGAAACGTTGTTTTGCGTCATTTTCTGGTGTCCTAGGAGACAATAATTACTTGTTATCAAAGGTATTTTAATTTTTGGTGACAGCTGCTGTGAAGTTTTGCCGCGGGTAAACTCGAAAAAACTGCTGACAGGTGCTGTCATAAAATTTGTTCATCTAAAAACCATTTGTAATAAAAATTGCGCGTTTGAGGTCAAGAGGAGGGAATAGTCCGTAGATAATATTCAATTAAGATACCAGTTAGAGATGTTCGCGGAAAACAAAAAAAAAATGTAGAAAGCAGCTAAAAACGTCAGGGTGAAGTCAAAAGAATAAAAATGCTCCTAACTGAATTTTTATCCATTTCTTACTCTTAATTGAAAAAGAAATAACGTAATAGATCGACTTATGCATTTATTTTGTCTATTGTTACTTGTTGTTTTTCCTACTTAATTTTTTTTCATTTATTACCCATTAGACATGTATAAAACATGTATAGGGGTTTGTTAACAAACAATTTACAGTATGTATATACATAAAAAAACAAACAATAAAATGACAAGCAACAACAAACAATAGCTTAAATTAGATATTTTAAAAAGGACACCATAGGCAAACAACAGTAGATAAAATAGATGAGCTTTCCAGCAGTTAAAATTAATAAATTAACAGAAATACAATATAAAAATATACAAAAGGACAAACAATAAGTGGATAACAAACAATACAAAAAACAAGTCTTATTAATAAAGTAGGTTCTTAACTCACCTTTAAAAATTATTTAAGGAGCAAATTGTCTTAATATACTCAGACAGCTTATTGAATACCTTTGGTCCTACAATAGAAGAAGATCTACTACCCAGCTTACATCGAACAAATTAATGATAGATGAATGTCGTGCTGCCTACGAGTATTGAATGTATGTATATTACTATGCAAAGTGAAATTACCTCTGTTAATATACGTATATATTGCTATTTCATAAAGAAACAACGAGGGCAGTGTTAGAATTTTTTATTTCGGGAACAAGTCTCTGCAACTGTACATACTGTCAACAGCTGCTATGCACCTTATTATTCTCTTTTGACATCGAAATACCTTTGAAGCATTCACCGAGGGACCCCAGAAAGACAACGCATACCGCATTAGCGACTCGATATGACTGTGATATAACATCAATAACTGGTCGCGTGTAAAAACTGTTCTCAGATTTTTAAATAGATAGGCCTGCGAGCTAAGCTTCGCAGACAGGTAGTTACAATGTTGTTTTTTCATAGTTTAGATGCAGCTGGTTCTACACGAATCAGCTATTGATGCTATGTAACAAGCTATTACAGTCGTTAATTAGGATAACGTCACATTTATTTGATAGAATAATCAATGTGTCGTCCGCGTATAAGGTAAAGTGTGATCTGGAGAAGGACTGCTCAAGGGTATTTACATATAATGCAAACAGAACAGGCCCCAACACAGATCCTTGTGGAACGCCAACATCGATGTTTCTCCCACTAGACTTGACTTGCATTAGTTGTCCTGAGAAGTTATGAGTTATTGTCACATACTGCGATCTGTTTTCTAAGAAGGATCTTATCCAGAGGTAGGCTGGTCCACCGATTCCATAAGTTGCCAGTTTTATTAATAACAGATCATGGTTGACACAGTCGAATGCCCTGCTTAGATCACAGAAGATACCAACAGGGCACTCTCATGCCTCAATGTACTGAACTAGCGTATTGAAGAAAGAATGAGATGCTGTTAGTGTTGAC